GTTGTTGTTGTTGTTGTTGTTCTTCACTTACCTTCCAGCCAGTTACACACGAGTTCAGTGACAGAGATTTATGAAGATATGACATCAAAAGCAATGTGCCATAATGGATCAACCTTGGCCAATGGCACCATTTAATCACTTCTTATTTTCCAGTAGACCAATGTTCAGCTGGTGAATGAACACATCATTGATCAATATATTGTAACTGGTATCCATAGCAACCAGTTTCATTAGAGGTTTTGTTTGTTTGTTTTATCGACTCTTTCAGGATACCCTGATGTCACTACAGGAAAGTCCTTTAGACTGTAATTTTCATGCTGGAGACAAAGATGATAATTGACTCACTGAAGAGTAAAATGAGGTCAAGAGAGCAGATATAACCAGCTGTGATGGAGGGATGAAGAGTTTCTAGCATGTAAACAAGATGAATGTTCATGCCACTTTGAGCTCACTCAACACCCACTGCATGGTGTGTTTAACTTTACATCAGTGACTATCCAATGAACCAAGCTGATCGCTGACATGCCATAGTGTCCCTTAAGATTGACAGTATCACACAAATTTAAATGAAATTTAAGAAAAACAAAACAAATTCAGTAGTTATGTCTGCTTATCTAATATGACAATGAAGTATTTGGCACACGCAGTGGTCTTACTAGGTTTGTACTAAAGCTGTTGTAACTTCTGTTACTGTTAGTATTAACTTCAAAAACTAACTACTAACTTCAGTTGCTGAAACTATTTTTGTGCAGTGTTTTTGGTTTCTCTGTGATCTTTAGTAAAGCCAAAAATGCATGAGGTTTCCATGTCACAGACTGGACAAGGGTCCAACAACACATACAGTACATAATAGGGGGACATATTAACAGAATTTAAAACCAAAATAATTAAAACAACAATGGCATGAGCACGATTACATCGATTAGAGGTTCTTGTCGGCTTTGATTCATTTTTGATTAATTGCTCAGGCCTGCTTCCAGCCAAACATCCTCATTTGAGTCCAGCCTGATGCTTTATAACAAATGTTTAAGTGATGAAATAGTTTTGATTAACAAGTTGCAATTTGTTATTTATGTACAATTGGCAACTACAAGGGGAGTGAAACAGAGGTTAGTGGAACAGGAGGCACACTGAAAGTGGGACGTGACTACAGCTCTGTATTGATTAGAAAGCTCAGGTACAAAAACAAGCATTTGTGTTGACTGTTCTGCATCAACACTGAGAAGCTTTGGAAGTCCCGCCATTGAAACTGATGAGTTTGCTTGATTGTGCAATCAGTACATGCCTGCACGTGTGTTGGTGAGGGTGGGGGCGAGGCTGTCGTAGATAAAATTTTAGAAATTAAAACATTTTATTGTTCATTCTGGGTCCCTGCTCCTAAATCTGGTTAACTATTGAATGAGGAAACTGCAAAACGACAAACAAAAAAATTTCAAAAAAAAAAAATATATATACATATGTTGAAAAATGGCATATTTTCTTTGATTACAATCTGGTGACTGACTACCAAAGAAGTTTTGTTCCCTGTTGTTCCCTCAGTAATGTTTGTAAATAAGAAACCTGTCTGTACAGTTGCTGTTTTGGCTGCAGCACAAAGTTCGTTTTTTGGGTTTTTTTTTTTTAATTCACTTTGCCACTTCATTTTGCATAACTAGTGAAAAACAAGGATTTCATAAGCTACAAAAACTTTTATTGGCAATTAATTAGAAATTTAGTGGTGCTAATGCCAAAACCTTTTTGCCAGGACTGCACAGCGTAACGCTTCATGAGATCCTACTAAATATTTAGACACTCTTTGTCTGTTACGTGCATCAGTCTGGTTTCTCTGTTGTCAAGTAATTGATCCCCTAAATAACACACATCTCTCTGACCTTGTTGCCCTCATGATATTGAGTGATAAAATGTGATTGAATTGGATTCACCTTAAGTGCCTGGTGTTTGATTGTTCATTTCTGTAGTGATGTTAAGTTTGAGGATAAGTAGCCCTTTGGTAGTTGTAATCAGCGGAGTGTACACTAGTCTTTTTTTGTTTGTTTTTTTGCAATTCATTTTCTGTTTGTTTAATAAATTAACTAAATGAAATGAATGAGCATAAAATACTGCAAAGTGCCAAGGCATCTCTAGTGCTGTAAAAGAGCAGGTGAATAAGGTTTCAAAACCATTGGCCAGTGCTGTAGTCTCTCTCAGTTAATACCAGTCTATACCTGGCCCTGGGCAGCTTTAGTCAATGTTCCCTTCCATCAGCTCTAATAAACATAACTCTCTTCAACATCCTGGCTCAATGCTCTTCCCAGCTGGCAGCGCTTTCTCCCTCAAACTAACAACACTGCCAGCCAACAGATTACTGCAACTGAGGACATTTCGCACAGAGAAGAGGGCACACTGCACATTTTTATACAATGCAAGAGATAATATGTACTATTTGGACATCATAGTAGGGAGTTGCGTGACTATACACATTTGTATTAATGCATTTTAATTTCCTTAGCATGGAAGGCCGAATATGGTATCAAGAAAAAGCCTGTTACTGAATTCCCAGTACACAGGCTCAGTTGGGTGTATCAAACTGCCACGAACATGCTACAAACTATCTTATAGACATGTTTTTTTTGTGTGTAACGGGTTATGTTTGTCTGTTTGACAGATATGGCAGAACCCATTCAACAGCTAAGCACCAATAACCAAGGACGCAGTCACAGAGAGCAGATCCCGTTTACCCTCCTTGGACGCAAAGAGAAGGTATCACTGGCTTTTACTACTGGATAATGTAGATGGATATAATCACCATCTTCCTATACATTTTAATGTTCTGCATAAATGAGCAGCTGCCAAATAGGTCACCCAGTTTAAAGGACTGGAACATATCTGCACTGAGAAATAGACTTGAATATTTATACCCTCCAAGTATTTGAAAGGTCCATCAAAAAGTTAAGTATACTCTACATAAGAAAGACGGTAAACTACTTAATACAGTGGAGCCATGTTTTTGTCAATAAACCTAAACATGATTAAGCTAATAGCAAGTTTATGTAAATATAATTATATATTTAAGTCTGACATTATTATTATTATTATTATTATTATTATTATTATTATTATTACACCTGAATTACAATCCCCCCCCCCCAATTGTACTACAACACACGTAGGATTTGTACAAATAAATCCTACATGTAAACGACTCCTCTCTACAGATATCCAATAAAAACAAAAACACAAATGTCAATCTACAGTCACGTACATGTTTTCTCTGTGTGAGGGTCAGATCTTTATTTCTGTCAAAGTGATCGTGTCACCCAAAGCTGTTTAAAGTCCTTTGTGAACTGTATAAATAAAATAGGCTAATTGGTTTAACTTGAGTTAATTAGTTCATTAAAACTTGGCCGGAGACTCCAGTTAAACAAAGGGCAGTCACGGCACGCTATTCTTAGAGCAGTTTTGGGCATCTTGTAAATCACACATTTTGCTAACATCCAGAGTCCAGTTTCCTTCCTGAATCCTGGCATAAAACATGCTGTCATTTTAAGTTGATTTTAGATTTACAGATCGCACAACCGTAAGTGAAGAAAAATAAGATTGTTGTACCTGCTTAAGAAAAGTTTCCTATGCATTTAAGAACAAGTTTAAAAAAAAATACTGAGAACTGAGGAAGTTTTGTAGTAAATAAGAGGTTAATTTTATTTGGAAAGCTTAGTGAAGACTCAATTAAAAAAAGAAACAAAACCTGAGTGCATAATTTGCCTTTGTAAAACCTGTAACCTTATTTAAAAAAAGGAAAGAAAATGTGGGTAAAACAAATAATTTTGATTTGAAGTATTTAATATTCACAAGACGTGCTACTTTTATGTACACTTAAAAGGCCAACCACTGTACTTGGTTTCTTGAAATATGCAAATCTGCAGACATTCGTGTCCACAGCTGTCAAAACCTTTGCTCCGTCTACCAGAGTATTCCTAGGATGTTTATGTTTTTGTCTGTGTTTTCTTTGTCAGTGTGGTGAGATCCTGTATGAGAAACGCCACTATGAAAAGGGTCACTGGGCTTGTATAATAATGCGTGAGGAGACGTATGAACAGAGCATTTGCTATGGCTTTATGAGGATAATGAGATACATCTGCCAACACAACTCCTTAGGTGAGTCTAGAAGCAAGAGACTGTTTTACGCATACGATTAGAGGCTGGCAAGCTGATTTAAGCTATTCCTTATATCAGCCTGACAGTGATACTTTGCTTTTTTCTACATGTAGGTGACTATCTGGGCATGACGCTGCCTATTGTAACAGTGGTGCGCACAGATGAGAATCATTCTGCAATGTCCCCTGATGTCACTGTGGCTTACTACCTTCCCACTGAGCACCAGGCCCAGCCCCCCCAACCTCACGACAGCGACATTGTCATTGAGATCTGGCCTGCCACTGTTGTATATACGAGGTTAGTAGCTTAAAAAAAACTTTTCTAAATGAGCTCCCTCCTTTTGTTACTGACTTTACAGTAAGTGATTATTAAGGTTAGAATTTGTGCTTGGTTTTACACTTATAGATCACTCCTTCCCTCTTCCAGAGCCTTTAGCGGTCCCACCAATGAAGTGACCATCATAAACCAGATAAGCACCTTGGCCGAGCTGCTGGAGTCTCCAGGAGTGTGTGTCAACGACTCATTCATCGTGGCCGGCTACACCAACCCTGCTCACAACAACCGTCAGAATGAAATCTGGTTTTTAGAGCGGCGCTAAGGGATAGTGGGATTACGTGGCATCCTACTTGTGACCCTTAACCTTCATAAAGACTCCCTTAACACTGCCCCAGCTTAGCTACAGCCTCAGGTGCAACATCGTCGTCAGTTACCACCACTACTACCTGAAATGACCACCAGCCCAGCAACACTCCAGAAACATCTGGTTTCATCTTTAAATGACAACAAGCTCAACCTCAGTCAGTTTTCCTTTCTGTTCATTTTAGTTAGATCATTTGGCACACAAGAACTGAACTCGACCACTGCCATAGTCTTGTGAACACTACTCAGATGATAGGGTGAAGCGTAGCATTTACCCCTGCTTAAAGATGGCTAACAACCTTTTCCTAAGCACACTGCCCACTAAGTGGTGTCAGAAACATGCAACAGCCTGCTCATCTGCAGAGGAGTCAGGTTTTGTGGTGGACATGCAGCCATATTGTGCTCCCTTCTTTTTTGTTGCGCAGCCACAATATCTTGTTATGGAATGACGCCATCATTCTCTTGCTTATTGAGGCATTTACAGCTCTGCCACAGTTGATCCACTGTTACTTTACCTCTGGATTACATACTTCATTACAGGTTATAGGTTTGTGATAACAGTCACACAGCATATTCTGCATATTCAGTAAAAAGTGCAATATTTATTAGATAACCATAACAACATGGCAGTACCTGGGCCACTAACCTAACCCAATCTAGGTGCATTCAATTGATGAAAATTTAGGAGGGGATTCTGCAGCATCCATCTTGACCTGAACTAGTGGCTTTAACTATAAATAAGCTTGACACAAACGGTGATGTTAATTTAGAAAACAAGCACTTTTGAACGGAACTTGTTCATGTGTGTTTACACTTGAATGTAAATCTACGGGACAAGGGGGTAACACACAGATCACTTCTACAAACCAAATGCTGAAACACTCACTGATATATATATATATTTATTTATTTTTTGCTGAATGACAATCATACAGTACTTATAGATTATATACATCCTTTTCTCTTACAAAAATAATGCAGTGTAACGCATTCCTCATGTTTCAGGTCTTGTACACACACAAGTAGTTACCCAAGTACCTCTTTTTGTGCTTTAAAAATAAACAAAAAACTACTTTTTAGTATTAGTCATCATTCACTAACAATTGCAAATACTACCACTGCTGAGTAGAGACGATGCAAACTCGTTAAGAGATACACAACAGAGAATATAACTGTGATAAAAATAGAAGGCGCAATTCTGATTCAGTTAAACTCATCTTCTATCAAAAGAAGAGTCTATAAAGAGATTGATGGTTTTATTCATTATATTTTAATATAAAATCATTAAACAAATTAATTCAGAACTCCAGCTAACCCTGCAGTTTGCAATAACAGGGATTTTTCTCTTCTGGAAATAAGAGAATCTCTCTTCCAGTGAGATAAACCTGGTAAAGAATTGGCCAAATTATCACAGTGTGAGGATTTTTACCAGAACATTTGTAGCTTTTTTCTTTCTTTTTTTTATGTAGGAAAATACAAGGTAAAAATGATCATTGTGTGAAACGGAGAGCATTACAATTAAGAAAGTTGGTATTGGGTTGGGGAGGTTGCCCAGTCGTAATCTCAAGAAGAACCGGTTAACATCAGTGCATCCAAATCCAAAGACTTTATTCTGCATTAAATGATTGTAGCATTGCTATGATACTCTGTGACATCTGTAGGGTGTAAACTCTTGCAAAGCCATGTTACGTGTAGGTCGGTATTCCCTCTGAGAGCCTAGTTACATAGCAACTGCAAGTGTCTGGATTTAATTTGTTTTTGCTTTTTTTTTTTTTTTTCTCTAGTGTTCTACAAAAGTGTTATGTAATGTGAAAATTAAAGTGTACCAACATGAGCTACTGTAGTTTTTTTTTTTTTTGTTTAATAAAAATGTGCTTGTCTCCTGTCTTTTCAAATCTACTCTGGTGAAGTTTTTACAAGGTTGACATACACGGAGCTTGAGCTCTGCGCAGCTTTTGGCATATTGATGAAGAATTTAGTTTTATTAAATAACGACCAGTCTTATGAGTCAGATGAGCTGATGATAAAGCTCCAGATTTACTATGTAAACTGTTTGGATACAAAGTAGCTGCAGACAAAATTACTCTACTCCTTGCCAAGTACAGCCTAAATAAACAGTCTGAGAAAGGGCAAAAGTCAGATCACTTCATATGCTACCAATTAACCCCACCACACACGCGCGCATTATGAATTACAAATACAACAAATGAGAGGTTTGATTATTTCAATTAAAAAAAAAAAAGGAGCCAGCAGAGACAAAACATGAGGAATAGATTGTGTTATCTGTTGGTGTGCCAAGAAAAACCTAAGGCTGCAAAGCAAATACCTTCCAGGACCCATTATACTTTTATTTTACCTCCAGGGGACTATTCTCTCTTTTTTGTGGTGTCAAGTGTATTAAATAAAAGGTGTCACACCCTGCTTAGATCTGAAATGTAGGACATAGTCCATTTCAAAACATCAAATCAAAATTTATTTATATAGCACATATTAAAACAACAGTGTTGACCATAGTGCTTCACAGTCAGTAAAAGCATGAGACAGTTAAAACAAACAATGAAAGAGGACAACAAACAATAGGTAACAACACAACAAGCTAGACCAGCCAACTAGACAGAATCAAAAGCCAAAGTAAAAAAATAAGTTTTAAGACGTGATTTAAAAGACTGGATAGACTCGGCAGTACGAATATGAACAGGGAGGTTATTCCAGAGTCTAGGTGCCACGGATGCAAAGGCCCGGTCACCTCTCGACTTCATTCGAGTCCTAGGTTGTGCTAGGAGCCTGTGATTGGACGATCTAAGTGCTCTGTTGGGATTGTATGAATCGAGTAGTTCAGAAAGATAGTGTTGAGTTACTGGAGCAAAGTAATTACACAATCCAAAAATAAGGACACAGGCAGTATACAGTAGTCTATCATAGTGCTGCTCGTGGGACAATACAGCACTCTGTGTAACGCCTAAAAGAAATAAAGCCAGCTGACTGGAATTGCATGAAGGCTTAAAGAGTTTTTAGCTTGCAGATGAGACTGAGTAATAATACTGTAATAGATAGTTTTAGTCATAAATATAACCTCATTTAGGTTAATTCAATCTTGTTGGGCAAATTGTTCTTTAATGCATACCTACAGCTCCCATAACAACAACCATAAAAGGTGTAAGCTTTAAGCCAAATATCTTCTGAGCTCAGTAGCCTTTAGATGTGCCGTCATTAAATCCGCACTTAATCGAACCGCAAGAGAAATGCGACTCAAGTCGATATATGGGCAAGCACTGGCCTTTCTAATGTCTGAGCCAAAAGCTGGACGAAAAAACAGAAAAAGCACCTGTATGCATGACTGCTTCATTTTTCTGATTTGTTTAACAGTTACTAAATTGTGCTTGCATGACTGCAGTAATGAATACAAAATAACCCAATGTTTTGGCAGTGGAAAATGGATTTCAGCAGGTTACCAACATCCTCCAATCATAGAGTAATATGAAGAGAAAGAAAAAAACTAAAAGACAAAAGAAAAAAAAAAAAAAAGAACTCTGCCCTGATAACAATAAAGAAAGAATTAGAAGGAAAAGACTAAAAAGGAAGAAAGTGCAACACAGTAAAGAAAAAAAATACAGCGGGTCTAAAATTTCAAATGCAGGTGTCACATTCCTGTTAACCAGCCAGCTGAAACAAATGAAGTGGAGCTGCACACTTAAAGTGCAGAAGACACAAACATGATGAGGAGAGAGCCGATCAGTCTACCAGCACTAAAAGCTAGACCACTGAGTGTAACAGGATGTGGCTTTCAGGACAAATCAATCAATTTAATATGAACTGACCCAGAAAGAACCTCACAGGAAGGAGAAAGAGGTGAAGCTGAAAAAGTTTTTACAGTTGAGGAGTTCTGTTTTTTTAATAACAGAAGGAAGCCAAAACTTACCACAAGGTGGCAGTAAAGCACCAAAGGAAAAACTCTTAGCTGCTCTACAGAATAATGAAAGCAAGCACAGGCAGACAAAAAGCAAAGAAAGAGTTTGTATAAAACTAACTTCCAAAAAATATATAATAAAGTCATGGACTGGATTCTTTCAAACACTGTGCATACAGAAACGCACCATTGACACTTCATTATTTACCTATCACATCACACAGAAACAGCAACCGCCTTCCTCTGGAAGATACTGTATCTGCCACTCCGTAAAAGCTGCTCCAAAACAGCTTGAAAAACACAATAAAGAGCCTAAGGTATTGAACCTAGCATCCAAACATCCTTGGGACATACCAGAATAAACCCCATCTGTGCAACAACCCACCAACCCAAACAATCCAACACCTACAGTATGTCCTCATGCCAGACACATAACCACATAACACACCCTGCCTAAAATCCATGAATGCACTCCATGTTTTGACAGCAGAAAACAACCATACATAATATTTGGCAGATTTTTTTTTAAATGTACCCCTGGTCAGTGCATGTTGGTTGTGGAAACAATAAGCAGCCTATGTGTTCTGCACAAAATAAAAGAACTGACATATTTTATTCCTTGTAGAATTACATTTTTAAAAAGTATAAACAATGTCCTGATCAGAACAGAGACGAAAAACATGACAAATCATTTGCTGCCCCTACCTGCAGGTAGCGTGTCTGGTAAGCTGAAAGGGCCTCACCCAGAGGAACCACAACTTTCTCCAAATTGCGCTGGTGGGAGTGAGCCCGGATGTCAGGACTGTCTTCTGAACGTAGCTCAATATGGGAGATGAGCAAATTGGAGATCACAGATTGCACCGACTGGAAGGATGAAGTGAGGCGGATTGCAGATTAAAGTCTACTCACTTTTAGGTCACAGCGCAGAAAAAAAAAGTGCATCTTTCTCACCTTTGTATCTCCTCCTGGGGTGGCGCTAAGAGCCAGTATGCGGAACTGCAAAGTCTGGCTGCCGAGCAGTTTGATGACCTAATGAAGAAGACCAAGCATTAGACATCATCTCCACTAAATCTGGACAGTTTACATAACTTTTACTGCAAAAACCCCAAAACTAACCATTAAGATTTAGTTCTTTAGTTCACACTTATACAACTTCATGATGTCAAGCTTTGATTATTTCTCCAAAGTGTGTGTACCTGGCAGTAAGCATGGTTGCCCAGCGCTTTGTGTGCTTCATCGATCACCACGCACTTGACCTGCTGGGCCGGGCAGGTGTCTCTGGACAGATCATTAACCATGACCTGAGGCGTGAGGAAGAAGACCCGCTTGGACCTCCAAACCTCTTGTCTCTGCTTTGCTGCTGTGCTACCTATGAAGCGGTAGGTGCAGAATTTGAAAAGGGGGAAGATGGGTGTTGTGCATCAGATTTTATGTGATTTTCTTTTTTTTACCTGTCAGCTCAGCCATGTGTGCTTGTGGGATCCCCATCACTTTATAACAGGCCTCAATCTGTTGGGCCACTAGAGGCTTGGTGGGAGCCATGAAAACAATCTTGCCTGATGGATACCAGCGATAGAAATTGTACATAACCACAGAAGCTATAAAGGTCTTTCCCAGACCAGTGGGAAGACATACCAGAGTGTTCTGAAAGAGGGCAGCCTCTGATATCTTCAGCTGGTACTCCCTGATAGGATAGTTGGTCGGGTAGATCCATACCTTAGCTGAGGAACTGTCAAAGCCAGGGAAGTCAGGATATGTCTGCCCACCTGAGGGGGTTAGAGAGAACGTGGGCTCTTCTGTTCTGGCAGGGTTGTCATGCTGGAAACATTTAGCATTATCAAGCTGGAGGCTTCTTTCAGCTTCATACACGGCGACCACCATCAGATCATCGTCTTCATCTTCATACGCAGGCGTGGGGTCCTCAGTCCCCACTGGGTTCGCTAATGTATATGCTGACCCCTGACCATTTTCAGACCAGAGGGGATAAGAAGGAAGGTGAGCTGTAGCTACCTGGGGACTGTTGCCTGGAGTTGTTCTGGGGCGCCCAGCAGCATTTTTGCCATCTTTTATCGGGTTAACAACTTTGTTTTGGGAGACGGAGACACCCCAAGTCTGAAATAAAGTCTTCTGGTTTGAACCGCCACTCATTTTCATTACCGGCGGCGAAAAACTTTAAGGGGAAAACGCCATGTGAAGAGCAGCAACATTGCAAGAAGACTGTCTAGAACACAAACACCCGGTCATTTCCGCCGACGTTTTCCAAAATAAATCACTTCACGTTGAGAAAAATTATTTTACACAACTATTTATGGTTCATATATTTGTAAACTGTACAAAATTACACTTATGACCATATATGAAAGGTTAATCTGAAAATATGTAAATATGTTGTTATATCTTACAAGGGCAACCTTTTATTTTTTAGATTTGGCACAGGAAGTAAATAAAAGCTTTGAGTTACGCTCCCGCTCTCCGTAGCGGCATAGTCATGTTACCATAGCAATGGAGAGAAGCAAATGGGAGAAAACAATCGTAAATTTGCAGGTAATTTATCTGCTGTCGATGATACATGTTTATACGCAGAGTAATTTTTCAGGGTGTCTTTTCTGTGCTACGTTTAGCTTCCTAGCCACTCTTGCTTTCTCAGGAAAACAGGTGCTAACGTCTGCTATAGTTAGCATTCATTTGATAGTGAGACTACAATTACTCCTTTCCTCGCCACAGGCATGTTCGCGTGGATATCTGGTAAGGAAAGAAGTCTGCAAAGCACGCGAAGACTTTGAAGACATCGTGAAGGAGATTGACGGGCGCCTGACGCATTTAAAGTGGACGGACACGCTGATCTCTATTCCCCAGTTCATAGACACGGTAAGTGGCATTTATGCGAATAAGGGTGGCGTTTAATACTCCACATACAAAATGTTCTCATGCATTTGCTTTTTGCTTTTTCAGGGCAGCCTACGTCCACCACCCAGCAGCCCTGCCACTAAGCCTCTAAATCCAGAGACAGATGTCAGTGCTACTCCCCAGATCCCTGCACTCTCACCAGAGAACAGAGATCATCACTGTGCCCTGCTAGAGAAGACAGAAGCAGAGAGAGATGATTCACAGACCTGTTTACCCAGCAGCAGCTCTATTAGAGGGGAAGGAGAGGGCCAAAGACAAAGCGGTGTGGTGGAGAGCACAGCAGGGTCGTCATCTGTCTGGAGCAGTGTTGAGTTAGATATGAACTATACTCAATCTCATAAAGGTATATTAAAGTTTCACACAAAGTGGACCCATGTTGTGTGCGTGTGTAGAAGGTGTTTTAAAAAATATTGCCTCTTGTTCAGTCTTTAAGAAATTTACAGTCACAATTTTCAAGATTCAAAGAAGATGCATTCACACAGTCCTTAATTTAGTTATAAGGGCTGGTAACTCCCAAAAGGATTAACAAATCTCTTTGGGATTCCTTCTGCCAAATGAAACATGTGTAGTTACCTGCTGTGGTGACCCGTTGTGAATAAAAGAGAAGCCTAATGTAGCTTTTGCCTCTAAAAATAGAATCACAGAAGCTTAAAAAGTAGAATGCAATCAGTGTTCACCTGCATTAATTACACAGTTTGTCTAGCCTCAAATGTGTTAATCCAAAACTGAATTTGGTGAAACCTTTTGAGCCGTTTCGAATTCGCCATCCCTCCATCAGGTTCTCATCGGTACTGCTTGACTCAGGAGGTGCCCCGTACCCCAGAGGCCCTGCGTTTCCATAGAAGCACCCTGACCATGGAGCTGCTCTGGCTTCAGCAGGCAATTGACAGCAGGAAAAAGGTAAGGCTAAGAAAGAGAGAGATGTAGTGCTTCCCTACGTTTATTCAGCAGTGACAGTCTCCCGCTGTAATAAAATTGCTTCTGCTCCATAGTGGAATTTATTTACTGGTTCCCAAACTAAGTTCATCCAGCAGGTCTGAGAAGCAGCCTTCGTTCTAGAGCCTACATCCAACAATCAGATAACAAATGTTAATTTTGCAGTAAGTGTCAACAGTGACTTATTACGGACAGTCCAAACCCCCAAGCTACAAACCTGCACGCTGGATGGTTCGGCCCATTTTCTCCCATGTATTAAGCGTGTAAATCAGGTAGAAGCATGTTTAGCTGTCGGCACCCTTTACCCTCACACTGAGAGCTGATTTAAATCCTTTAATTTATCTTTAACACATTTCGTTGCTTCCGTGAGGCGCCCTTCAGCACCAGAGTGTGTAAATTTGCCAAGATGTGGAGCAACACTTTTTATAGATGTGTTGTCATGCACTGAGAATGCACTCATCCAGACATGCAGAAGAACATGTTACTTTTAGTGACTGTTTTCTTTCTTTTTTCCTACAGTACTTGTCGCTGAAGGATAAACTTAGCGCGTCCTGACGGCATCGTTACCATGAACTGGACTTAAACATGTGGGAGTGATGCCTTCATGTACGCAGGAACCTGCTGCACTGAGTACCTTTTTCGTGTTTGGCATAAGTTAATAAACCTGTATATTGTGTATTTTCATGTATATAAATAAAATAAATGTTATTTTTCTACAACGTTTTCTTTGTTGTGCTGTCTACCGCTTGGGCTTCACTTGGAGCATTAACTGTGCCAGTTTTAGATGGTTTACAATTGTGCATGGAGAAGTTTTGTTCACTAAAGTCCAGGTGAGCATGCTTCCCAGGAGCTCATATTTCTGAGCTATCACTATCACTCATTTCATTAGGAAATTATCCTTCAAATGTTCACAGCAATCTCCTATTAAACACCTGTTGTCCTCTGGTATTTAAGTCCTTATAGAGAACCCAGGGAAAGAAAAATATTTATAAGTTAAAGCTGAACTTTTCCTCGTTACTCCCTTGAGAGATCTTCTGTTGTGCTTGGATATTTAATATTTACGAAAAAGAATCACCTGGCTGTTGCACTTGCTCTCACTTCTATGCTTGATGGATTTGGCCTTTTTTTTTTTTTCTTCTTTTTTTAACCTGCCTGTAGAGGTTATCTTATTGATTCAGCTTACAGCGCAGGAGACCCACCCGTTCTCCCCTCCTCTTGCCTGTCTCTTTTGTTGTGGTTTCTGCCGATGGTTTGGCCCACAAAGCCAGTCATTGCTGGCCACGCTGCTATGGCAACCAGGAAATACTCACCGCCATCAGTGGAGTAGTGTCCGTGTGAGAGTGTTTGAATGTGAAGGGGATAGAGAGGAGCAGAACATGGTGAGGGGGAGCCCAGACAGACCACTACCACAACAACAGCAGAGACTGATCTTCACCTTTGGCTTTTCTGCAGTTTTCCCTCTTAATTCTTCACCGAGCATGTGAGTGACAGAGCATTGTTTGGCACTTTGGAGTGGTAGCTGGATCATTTGTTTGTGTTAATGTGTGACTTTTGGAAATGTGTGAACCCAAAGAATGTAGTGTGTGTGTGTGTGTGTGTGTGTGTGTGTGTGTGTGTGTGTGTGTGTGTGTGTATGAAAAGGTTCAGTAAATGCAATTATTAGGTGCAATGAATGAGAATACATGCATGCATATATGCACTCAGAGATGGCTGCCAGCTCTGCAGCTGCATCTCTGCTGCCTCCAGTGAAGAGCGTGGTGGTGTATAGGAATGGAGACCCCTTCTACAGTGGACGCAGGTTTGTGGTCAACCAGCGACAGGTGGTCACCATGGAGGCCTTTCTGAATGAAGTGACCCAGAGCATCGGTGCCCCTCTTGCCGTCAGGACTCTGTACACCCCCAGGCAGGGCCACCGAGTCACAGACCTGCAGGATCTACGGACAGGAGCCCAGTATGTTGCTGCTGGCTTTGAGAGATTCAAGAAACTCGAGTGAGTACAACAAAATGAAGTTATTTATACTTGATGTCTGGAAAACAGATCAAGTACTGTGTTAGGGTTTTCTTCGTTATATCCCTTGTCTTTATGCACAGTTACCTGAACGTGAGAACAAAAAAGCAACCCACTGCTCGTGAGGAAACCCAGGTAGGCTTTCATTTCATTTCAGTCCTTTTAAGGAATCTGTAACTGATTAATCCTAGCCTAACCAAGAGGAATGCACCACCAGGCTACAGTCATATCAAGCTGATCATTTCAACTCCTTCCAAGTCAAATTTAAAAAGAGTGCAGGATTTTTTGTTTATTGACGCAACCTTATTCGCCTTTAAAAGTGACGACCCATTCTTATGAGCAAGTATTAGCCGTGCATGTCCCCTGTTATCCTCCTATTGAAGTCACAGGCTGGTAGATTAGCGGATATAATGGGCTAATGACTGCACTGTCCATCAAACACTCAGTCACTCAGAACTTGCAGGGTACTCTCATGTGACAGCTTCATTAATTTCAGCGGGATATTGCAACGTCAAATGATTTCATCAAGAAAATTATCCTTTCTCTTCGGCTGAACTCAACCTTTTCAGTAAAATGAAAGGCAGGCAGTGCACAGTGACGAGGATGCTAGGATTAGGCATAATGAAGCTCCCTTAGCATTCACACTAAATTGATTTCAAAGCCACACACACTTTAGAGCCACTCACAACAAGTACTTGTTTTATATTCTGACCTGCTGGCAGGACTGACCTCTTAGTGTTTCTGATGTAGAGCGATCTATTAGTCTTACTTTTATGAACAAAAAACATACATGAGTATAGAATAAGCGTGCATAGATGCTATTTTGGATAAGTGTTTGTTTGTTTTTTAGGTGGGGCCTTTGGCTTTAAAGTCTTACATGTCTGTATTGTGGTTGCTGTGGAGATACACAAGAAGTGTGCCCGTATGTTGAGTGTTTGTGTTTGAAGTTTTTATGCTTCCACCCAGTGTAATCAGGGCTGTGTACATGTTCAGGCAAGCCTAATACTCAAATTCTGAGCCCTCCTTCTGGATTTAGACACATTGTAAATAATTAAACGTCTGCCACTTTAAAGAAGGAAAAAAAACCCAATAACGAGGAGATTATCAGAGCCCACTGATTTAGCTCAGCTAGAGGCAGACATGGATATTGGCTCCAGATTTCATTACTATGCGACGACATGGGTGAGGGCCCTCAGATAAGACACGGCGTGTCTAAATGCACCATCCGAGGAGTCTTGGAGTGACGTCAGTTTCCATGGCTGCAGCACTTGAGCTGATATGAGCTGAATACACTTTTCGGATAATGATTTTCTTGGCGATATGCATGCAGTGGTATTTATGTGCAGGACAGGAATGATGTAAATCTGTTAAGGGAATTTTGAAACTTGATGAAAAATTGACAGCATTTGATGTTCTGCAGTGGCAAGCATCTGATTTTATGTTGGTCCCCTCTAGGTCAAAGCAATCCAGAGGCCGAATGTGTCAGCTAAATGGAGGAAGTATATACCTGTGCCTTGCATTATACAGTGAGTTGGACGAACTGCTTATCGGAGGCATATATACATAGTATCAGAAATGTATTTATTTATTTTTTACATACAGTTTGCTGGCAGTACCATTGCTTTCATTTTGGATTAAATTATCTCTGCACCTACTGGATGAGAGGAAATTTTGTCCTTAAGATCTCCAGAGAATAAACTGCTACTACTGGCTTCCCCTGATGTTTCCTTTAGCAACACTTTTGGGGAGTTTGAAAAAATCAACAACACCCTAATCTTTGCCCTGAAAACAAATATCCACGTTTCCCAGATTTATACCAAAATCAATTTCACATTAAAGTAATGCAACTGTAGGAAGATTTAAAGTATCGTTGCTGTGGCTAATTAAACTATCATTCATTATTCCTTGATTGCTAAATAATTGTTCCTAATCTTTCATTTAAGGAAACCACTGGGAAACTATCTTTTCACAACCAGCTTAGACCAGTAGTAACAATTACCAGTTCTTAACTCTTTCATCACATATCTGCATACAAGAATTAAGATGTTTCTTGTTATGTTCAGCGTTTTTCGAAATGGAGACCTCCTGTGTCCACCGTTCCGATTCATCATTCCTCGGAGCATGCAGCAGGACCTGGATCAGATCTTGAGTCTAATCACAGAGAAGGTCAGCCTAAGGACCGGTGCGGTGCGCAGGTCAGTGACACCATTACACAGAAGGTCAAAAACATTCCCAGTAGCTCTGTGAAATACAAACAGAAAGATCTAATAAAGTAAATATCGAACCCCTGTACGTTTTTCAGGTTGTGTTCTCTAGAAGGAGTGGCCTTGTCCTCAGCTGGGGAGCTGGAGACTGGCCGCTGCTATGTTGCCGTGGGAACTGAGAGGTTCAAGAAACTCCCATATGTGGAGCTATTAATCTCCAAAACTACAGAGAGGTACAATCATGGAAGTTCCTCTGTAAAAAACAAAACAAAACCCGTGCTTGTGTCAGTCTGTGCTAACACATGAATAATAATCAGACGACTGGAAACAAGAAGAGAACAATATCCCACACATTCCTCTCTCCCATTTTTTAATAACTATGTTTCTTCATTTTGTAGATATTACCCTGGGAAGAGAAGGATGTTAAGGAGAGCTGAGGTAATCCTCCTCCTCTCTCTCTGCATTCAGTTACTTGCTTTATTTTCATGTCTTAAAATACAGTTTTAGGATCGTTATTTTCCAGCCTAAATGTCAGGTCTGATTGGCAGCTGTCAGAAGAAAACATTAACAGGCTATGAACATCTTCTGTTTTTCCCCCCATTAGAACAGGAAAGCAGGAAGTGGGCCTGAAGACCAATGCAGTGACTCAGCTCTCCTTGACTCCCCAGAGGTAAAACAAACAAACAAGTCTCCACTGACTTATATTCACACTATATGATGATATATTATGAGTATTTATATAATTTAGTGTTTGTTATGTAACATATTCAATGTGACCCATGAATTTCAGTCAGACGGTCGGAGGGTGAAGTCAACAGGAGATGAAGCTGCAGCCCCACAAGCTTCCCAGCAAAGGAGCAGGAGAGAGGGAGCAGATGAGACCTCTACGTTTTTTGCCAGGCCGGTCAAGATCCGGAAGAATCGAATGCAAACGAGACCACCGCTCAGCAATGGATCTGGTGAGGATTACATGAAATCCAATCAGTCTTAAGGAGTATCTCCACTTTTTGGTGGTAAAAAAACTTTTGATATCTACCCATGACAGGCCAGCCCAGTGTATTTAAAAGTTCAGCACAGAAAAGGAGAGAAGAGGTACGAGGGGCAGAGGAGGTGCAGGAGGATGAAAATACAGCTACAGAGCTTCCTGTTGATCAGGTTAGCTTCAGGCACCTCTGCGTCATTTCAGACTCATAATTGAATAGAAGATAATTAAATGCTAAAATATGACTGAGGTGGGCGCATTTGTCTGCCCTTAATATTATAGAAGTGAGATTAAATCTAAATTTTAATCATATTTCCTTTCCAAAGAGAGCTGCAGAAATAGTGGAGGAGGAGGAATTAACCAACCCAGACGATCCTCTGCAGAACAAACAGATGGTAGGCATTTTTTATGCCACATCTAACATGTTTTGTTAGATATGAGAAATAACACTCATCACTCACTCCTGTACAAGCAAAACCAAAAATACCACTGAATAATAGTTGTCCTGCATGCATGTGGAGTAATTATTAATTCACTGTCACAAGGACAGTACATGCATGCTGCACATTTTGAACAAAAGCATTAAAAAAACACTATTTATTTCTCTCAAGAGACAAGCACAAATTATCAAGGGTGAGCAGCACGACGACGAGGAGCACCCACACAAGTACAGTGGAAAGCAGGTACGGTTCGTGTGGGCGGGTTGTTTACATTTAATCGTAATTCACGTGTTCACATTAAAAGGGTTACCCATTTTTGTTCTTGTGCCGTTAAAAGGCATTACTATCTGAAGAGGAGGAGGAGTCCAAAGCTGAAATACTGGTACACACTCACACCCACGAGTAGCTAATTAATCAATTGAACAAATACAGAACTTCAGCACGTGGAGGCAAAATCTTTGTGACTTTCATTTCAAAAGGAGCTGAAGCAGACGTCTTCAAAGTCGAGGCCTTCGTCGTCTAGCAGCCACGCAGAGCACAGAAAAGAAAAGGCAAGTTTACCAACTTCACACCCTATAACACCATCGCGTTTTTACTGGCATCAATATAACCAAGGCATTAAACTTGTCTTGCTGATAGCTTTTGCCTTTACACTGATTTAGTGTTGTTGCTGTGACAGGAGATCCTGCAGGATGCGCCGTCGGTTGCAACAGAACAAAACCACCATCATCAGGAGGTCACGGCATCCTAACAGTTTCACATCGCATGAACGTTTGATTAAATTAGTAGTACTTTAACTGTGGTAATGAGCCAAATAACAACATTAATGTATGTTTGTTTTATTGTAGAAAATGTAAGCGTGAGAAGTGCAAGCAGAACAAACACTACAACAGGTGGATACACTATCAGAAGCTCTACAAGCTTCAACTAAAACTGATTGAAGTTTATTGTATCGTACACCCGTTTATGACATTGTCCATTCAGTTTTACAGGCATGATTCTTATGTTGATACTGTGTAGATGTTCAATGCTGCAATATATTCACTATGCGTACAGAAAAAAAAAACATTTTTTAGGGTAAATCTTAAACCTATACTGAAAAATGAGTGACTACTAAATGAGTGTTGGGGAACAGTAGTGTTGCCAAGAATTTATTGATTATATATCAGCAACAACACAGGAACAGAGCACAATATTAACAGTCATCTGTACAGTGTCTTGTATCAATTAAATGTGACAATAAACATATATATTACTGTACATGTGACCAATTTCTGAACTCTTTACACAGTTAAAGTCTTTTTCTTTCAAAAGTAGTTTGGAAAATAAAAGCAGTATATTCCTTCATAGTATATTACGAGTAAACAGTAAAAGGAAAGGCGAAAGATGAAAATTTTATCCTCAAGCTATACAACAACATTGTCCCCTCCTGCCTTGCTCTTGCTCTACAGCAGGCTAAAGGCAGCCACCACAAACTGTCCCCATTAAACCAGAAGCTGACATCTACCCCGGGCTTATTTATATGTGGTCTCTGCAGGATCTATGCAGATGCCAGTCAGCTGCGGAGTGTTTAAAAGTAAAAGTTAACAACCACCGCTTTTCTATGCGAGCGTCATAAATCGAGTCAAGCTCTGTGGTGAACTCTCCATGAACCCGCTTCCCCCCCTCAACATGGTGTGAGAGTTTTCTGGACAGGCCTTTTGAAGCTTGAGTTAGTTTAGACACAATTCTCCCATCAGCATCGCCGCTCTCAGGAGCTGCTCTCTGAATCTAAATCGTCCTCTTCAGTCCTGCTCCAGCTTCATTGCCTGTCTTTCCATTTACGGCGAAGGATTTATTTGAAGGCGCAGAGGAATTGGCTTAAATCCTGATCTCCTTCAGTACACGGGTTGGGTCAAATTCTGATTCCCAGTATCTCTGTCAATATCATCAATGGAGCTTATAATACACAGAGTGATGCCAGCCATGGTGAGGAACATTCCTACGACAGCCTCTGCAGACAGATGTGTGGGCAAGGATATCAAGATAGTTAAAGTTAAAAAAATGTATTTATTAATTAGGTACGGTCATGGTACAAAGAAATGTCACCCTCTTTCAGTTCAGTTAGCATGTCTTAGCACAACTTCAGATGAACAACAACATATTAAACTGTGTCATTATTAATTAAACAAAAACTAAACCAAAATACAGACGAAGTGTGTAAAAAATTAAGTACAACTCATTATTCAATAGCTTGCAGAACAATTTTTAACAGCAATAACTTGAAGTAATCATTTTCTGTATGACTCAATCTGTCACATCATTCTGGCCCAATCACCTTTACAATGTTGCTTCAGTTCATTGAGGTTAGCGGGGATTTGTTTAAGCACAGCATTTCAGGTTGACGTCTGGACTTTGACTGGGTCATTGCAACACCTCTATTCTTTTCTTTTGCAGCGATTCTGTTGTATCTGTGGTGTTGCAAGGGTTAGGATCAAGTCACGCTTTAGCTGTCAGACACACATGTAGCCTCTCATTTGACTAGAACACCTTGGCTTACGGATGCTGACACAGTGACTGCAAGGTGCAGTTACTGGTCCTGTGGATGCAGAACAAGTCCAAATCATCACCCCTCCATCACTGTGCTGACTGTTGGTATGAGGTGTCTGTGCTGATTCGCCGTGTTTGATTTTTGCCAAATGTGACTCTGTGCATTATCACCAAACATTTCTATTTTGGTCTTGTCACTCCAAAGGACATTGTTCCAGGAGATTTGCGGTTTGTTCAGCTGCAGCTTTGCAAACCACAGCTCTGCTGCCATGTTCTTTTTAGAAAGCTGAGGCTTTGACCTGGTAACCCTTCGAAACAAGCCATACTTGTTCAGTCTTTTTCTAACTGAACTGTCATAAACTTTAACATTTAACATGCTAACGGAGGCTTGTAGAGTCTGAGATGTAGCTCTTGGTTTTCTTTTTTTTCAAGTTTGTCTGAGAATTGCACAATCTGACCTTGGGATTAATTTCCTGGCATGTCCACTCTCTGGAAGTATGGCAATTGACCTAAATGATTTTCCACCGAATAATGACATCTGTAATCTATTAATCTGGCTTCTAAATACCCTATTAATTCCTGTAGAAGAAGAAGTTAGGTTGCATTTAGCGTTTCACATAATCCTTCTGCATTTGGCTTAGTTTATGTTACATAAATAATGACAGCGTGTAATATGCTATGTTCTTTAGTACAACCGACACTGTATTTACTTAATTTGAAGAACTGCAAAGCATCAGATGATTTTTATTGCTTCCTGATATGTAAAACCTTTGAATTAGAGAGTGGTTAATTTTCTTTTTAATCATGACTCTAAACAGCTTAAAGTCTGACTTTCAAAATCAGCATCTGAATCTTTCCTTTTCTAGATAAATACCACCGGTTGTGTGACTGGCCTCATTATTTTAAAAAAAGCAAACAAATGTAGTGTTATCACATGAGTGACTTACGTTTGCCTCCAATTTCTTCCCCCAGAAACTTGCCAGTTAGCAGAGTGCAAAGGAGGGTGAGGGAGTTGGCTACAGGAACAGCAAATGATAACTCTGGATGAGAAGAAAGGTTTTTTAAAAAAAATAATGAATTTCTAGTCTACAAAGAAGGCATACAGTGACAGTCTGTGTCAAGTAAAGCAATAAAAGTAATTTCTCAAACATGTTCCATTAAGTATGATGATTTTCTGCTTGTAGTGTTTAAAAGAAATTACATTTAACATTTATCCAGTAAGCCATGTGAAAAACTAATCTACGGTGGCTTATTGGCATTTGATACAGGAAATTCTGGTATGATCTGATATGAAGTAAATATAGGGCCAGTAATACTGATACTAAACAAATACCGATACTTTTAGCCTATACATATAGCTTATATAGGTATATCAGTGTGTCATGATTCATGGGATGAATCATCATTTGAAATTTTGAACACATTTTAATGACCATTAAAACTTTGTGATTTACTGTGATTTTTGACTACTTTTCAAAATAATAACACTTATAACTTAAACACTTATAAGGTTTTCATGCATTCAAAAACAGTTTTTTTTTTTTTTGGAGACCTGGAATGTAAATGTACCTGGCTCTAAAGCACTTTGGGTCAACTTCTGTTGTTTAATTATGCTGTAGGCTATAAATAAACAGACAGATAGTCAACACAAAAAGGTTCAGCCATTCTTCATAGCGCATGTTTGAGATATATTTCCAAAAAACAACAACCCCAAAACACTTTATTTAACACAGAAACAAAATATCGATCGGATACAATACCACCGCTGGTATCGATACATTCGATATTTGGCCCGATCCGCACACCTCTATTGGTAAGTTCTCATTAGTGTTTCAGGCTACACTTGTGCTAGGTCTCACCTGTGGTTGAAAGTGTGTAATAGTAGACCACTGAACCACTCTGGTTTAACAGAAATGGGACCAGGTACTGTAGAGCAACACAAGGGAGAGGGAGCAACTGAGCCAGTTACAGTAACATACAGTCTACCTTAAAATGCGCGAATCTGCTGTCTCAAAACCTACCTTGATGTTAAGAAAGAGAAACCTGAGCTCCGCCAGCAGCTGTGCCACTTTGCTGGTTTTTGTCACATTTTCTATCCCCTCGGTGCCTCTCTTTAGGAAAGGGTTGGTGCAGCCCCACAGCACTGACACCAACAGGAGACTCAGCAGCTCGACTGCAACACATTAAAACGAGCTTACTTCCTTAGCTTAGGTAGTAAGATGCTAACTACTCCTGGCTTAGCTTTGCGTTGTTAATTCTGGTGAGGAGGTGGAAACTTGCAAATATACATTTAAAATGAAAATACAGACGAAATATTCAAATTCTTGACAACTAATATGATTTTTAAGGGAAACAATAGATTATGGCCAACTCACCTACGGTCACCATCGTCCTGGTTGTCAACAGTCGCTATAAGTCGCGTTCAAGATTGTTTTCAGTTGTTAGCGAACATTATTCAAACGAATAAATTCATAGTGCAAGAATTTAAAGTGCAAATCCTTAAACTTGTCCAAGAAATGTGCAAAAATAAATTGGTGAGGACTGTTTCTCTCATTTGCAGCTTCTGGTCGTTGGAGTTTGCGAACAGTTCTTGCCCTCTTGAACGCAGCTTTGAGGCTTTCCAGTCATTACATTACAGACTACCAGCAGAGGGCGCAGGGACTCACTCTTCCGCTTCCAAATATTATTTGTACTACTACCGTACTACTATTATTATTCTCTGTGCTAATTACTTCATTGTAATAAACAGACAATCCACTACTACAAATATTAGTTTTTATTTTCACTTCATTTCATTTAGTGAACATCTACAAACAATACAAATACATGGACCAAAGAGAATAAAGTGCAAAATACTTTAATGTCAAATTAAAAATGATTCACATCAGGAAGCAAGGCTGACAAGCTGTTTCACATAGGTCTCTTCATTCTGCGTGGTAAGAAAGAAAGAAAGAAAGAAAGAAAGAAAGAAAGAAAGAAAGAAAGAAAGAAAGAAAGAAAGAAAAAAGGACGTAATGATATTTTTGAGATTTTTAAAAACACAAAATAATCCGAGTGAATGTGTGACTGCTCACAAGTACAGAATGATGTAAAGTTAATAGAGCTCAAAATAAATCTGGAACATTAACACATTTTCTCAGTCATAAAGGGTGTCATTACACAACTACAAAAAGAGTTATCATTTTCCATGCCTTCAATTAGATGAATTCTACGTTTACTCAAAAACCTCTTGAAAACATAAATTTGCATCACCGGACCAGCATTATCCAGCCATAGGCCCATAGCTTTCCACACTACACATTACTTAGTTACTTCATTAGCAGTAATGCAACATCAGCAAAGAGCACAAACAGCAATGACTATTCTCTGAACACTGAGTTTAGCCAAAGTTCTTCAAAAGGAAATTTCCGTATTCAGATCCTTCATTTCCCTTGTGTCTCTTTCCAGTGCTGCTTTGATCATCTTTGAATTGTACACCCAAAAGACCTCATGATATCCTTGTAGTCTCTACCAGTGGCCCAGTTGTTGGAGATTTAACAGTGACAAGGTCACAGATTGAGTTTCCACAGCATTCAGTCAGCACAATATGTAACAACACATCAGTCAGTGTCTGTTTTGAGACTAAACCGCAGTCTTGGTGCTATGTGTTTTCTATTGATGGATTTTCATGTATGGTGACCACGGTGGACCCGCTGTTGGTGCTGAACTGCTCAACTTGATTCCCCTCCGCACTGGTGAGCTCTGCTCTGGGCAGCCGGAAGCTGCTCTCTGAGGCTGGGTTTGAGTTGGTGATGCTCCCTGACACAGAGCTGATTCCCACGGGCGTCAGCGGAAAGTTGCTTTGAACTGTAGATTGGGACATCTTCGGACGAGGTTTTGAACTTCTACTGGTTCCCAGGAGTCTGGATTCACGTGTCCGCCTGAACAAAAAACAAACAAAGACATTGGGAAGACAAATTTATAGATTTTTCTTTTAAATTTGTGATTCCTGTAATAATTCCATAATAATAGCAGTTTTTTACTTGGCTTTTGTCTTTTTACTGTAGTAGCTATATGAATAAAATAAAAATCTCATTTACATTACATATATTAGATTGTCAAAGGGTCATAAGTCCCTCTCATGTGTCTTTATTGAAGTTAAACAATCTAAGAAGGGAATGCCCCTGTGTGGTTCTAGCTACCGGTTGCAAATCAGATATATAGATAGATGTGACCTGTACGTCAGGTTGTGCCACTTTATAGGGAAAAAGTCCCTCGTCAAAATGTCAGGGAACCACAGGCAGAGAATAAATAAGAATCTGATACAGAAGATGGTATTATGGTATCTCTCAAACGGAACGTGATAAAAAAAAAGCAAGATGAAAAGCTGAAGCAGCTCTCTAGTCTTCCACGAAGTGAACAGAAATAGCAACATTGCTTTACAGCTTGAAACATTCGGTATGCAGGAATCGCCTTGTGTCCGAGGAATGTCGTCTCACCTGTTGTACGTCTTCAGGATGATGAGTAAAATGGCGAGAATGATAATAATGCCAATGACAATGACAGCAATCATAGCGCCAGAACCTGAGAGACACAGAAGAGAGGAAAGATGAGCAATGAACTCTCTGACAGTTGGTTTATAAGCTACGCCGTCTTATACACATTCCGCCTTCTTGTGATGGTGCAACTTATTTTGTGTGTCCTCCAGAAATAATGACTTGTGACCTAGCAACCATATCACTAAAAGGTAAACAGACGACGGTAAATATTTTCTACCAAATACTTGTCTGCCAAGCCCATAAGAAATGTGCAGATTAGACTTTATGATGCAGTGGGTTTTTATTTCTGAGGACTGGCTCTTCTGATTATTTCTTATCTAACTCAAAGCACTATCATGGTGTCTACAAAAAAACAAAACCTTGCTGACAAGGATGTGTTTCACTGATGTCTGGTTCAAGACGACGCTGCAGTTTGGAGCTCACACACAGATGATGTTCTTACTTTGAATGAGTATTTGTTCTTTGGACTTGGTGATAGCGGTTGTGTTCGAAGTTACGGTAGTGTTGGTCACTGGTGAGACGGTTGAAGCTTGCATCTTCAGGAATAACCTGCCAAAAACAAAAAGTATCACGTCAGCCACAGACTGAAACAGCACTACATTCATTCGAGAGAAATATTATAAGGTTTAAACCGTTTCTGCAATAGATTTATAACACATCTAGAAAATAAGAGGAATGTAGAAGAACAGATGGGGAATAAAAATAGCAGATGGAGGGAAAGTTGGTAATGACTGAATGTTTTATGGCATCCACAAGAATGGCAAACCTCACCAGAACAGTACAATAAAAAGTACGAGTGAATATCAAGATTTGTGGTACCAGAAGATTCTAGCAATCATAAAGCTTTTCTGTTCAGTTTTATTTATATATATTCACAACAGCCGTCCCCTATTGAAGGCTATGAGTAAGCACCTGGCGAAACTGGGAAAGAAAAACTCCCTTATAACTGGATGAAACCTCTGGCAGAACCAGATCTGGGGGTAAGGGGAAGATAAGAGAGCAAAATACACACCTTTTTTTCCGTTTTTAAAATCTTTGATGTATTTCACGACACAGTCTACTGAAGCAGTCAAAGCAGAAAATATGTTGCCAGCCACATTACTCGTCTCTGACGAGATTTCTCACACAAACAAATGATATTAAACTGACTGACAGGATGTGATTGTTGGGTTCTCATGCTTCTGATTGACTGGCTGGTAATGCCAGGCTTTGTCATGTCTGCCAGAGCCTTTGTTGTTTCAGGGATGTATATTCATCAGGCAGTCAGAACAAAGCTGAAAAAACAGAGCACAAATATGACCCAGTACTGCGTTCCTGTATTCCTGCCCTACAGTTCTCGTTTTGGGGTACTTAACATTTATTTATTTCATATACCCTGCACCTCCTTTGCATAAACACCTCCTTACGTTATCACATTTTGTAACATTTTGACTTTTTTAAGCACAAGGGGAGCAAATGTGGGCAGCGGTCCGCCATTTCACATTTTAGGAATGTTTACCAACGCAAAAGTGCAAATCATCATCTTCAGTAGATAATATAATTACAAGATTCAGAACATCCAGAGAAACAAGGACAAAAACCAGCAGAGAATGGCCAAGATTGTGGTATCTCAGGTGACACTGCACTAATCCTCTGAGGCCTAAGTCATCATTAGAGATGACTTCAACCAAAATCCCAAACCTCTGCGCCCTCTCCTTCCTTTCCTCCTAACTATATTCTATAAATGATTCTGTTCATTCATATCAGCCTTCCCTCCCCCCTTTCCCTTTATCCTCTTTCCACTCCTTTTTATGTTGTTTTCTTTTTTCTTAAACCCTAAATCCCACCTTTTCATCTTTTCTTCCTCCTTCCACTGGACTAACCTCAGCATTACCCCTTCTTCATTTCCTTCATTTCCTGAAGCCTAACCTTCCCCTCCTCTTCTTGTGTCTTTTCCTCCATTTCCAAAAATTGAATCTTCCCTTACTTCCTATTAATTCCCTTTTACTAAATTTTGTCCTCCTTCGCTCCCTTTTCCTTTCCTATCCTCAGTTATATTAATTAGAGGATAATGATTAATTATCCCATTCCCTGACTTTGACCTTTCCCTTCAATTTTTCAATTTTTCCCGTTAGCTTTTTTAATATATTCAACTATTTTTTCATCATTCCCTTCTCTCATCAATCAGGGAACAAAGAAAATAATCTTCCCAACTGACACACATCAAAATCCATTTTCAGTATTTCCATAAAAATCAGTCTTTCCCTTCTCCAAAATGTTGGGTTAGGGTTATCTTTAATGACTTAGACCTCACTTAAAATGGACTGAAGTGAGGTGGAAAACTATGTTGTGGTGTGAGGAATCACATCCTTGGCACTAAAGAAAACAAGGACTGTTACAGAAGCCGGATGCTTTCATGGTGATAAGGTGACATTAGTCAACATCTGTGAAGACACCAGTAATGCTAAATGAGATCTACTTTTAAGAGCAACATAACCTGCCAATCAGATAGATGACACTTCTTTTCTTATTTCAGCAGGACAAATCCATTTTTCACATTTTCCGCATACATAAAGCAGCATGGCATTGTGGTAAAAGAGCGCGGGCGCTAAGATGAACTGTCTGCAATCTAGACCTGTCAGCTTACATAAACACTTGGCATATAATAAATCAAAATTACCACAATGGAGGCTCTGTACTTATAAGCAGGTAACATTTTAGATAAAGCAAGAATGGGGAAACATTTTACGTTCCAAGCACAGCATTTGCTTTTCTAGTTTCAGCTGTTAAACGTGGTGGTAATCCTGCCCCATTCCTAACGTTTTCAAAACTCAAAGTTCCCGTAGTCAGATTCAAAATAAACATGAACAAATTTTTAACTGAAAAAACACATTCTCTTTTACAACATATAAGTATAATAGTGCTTACTAAAGTCTTCAAGTTACAGTGCTTAACAAACTTATTAGCTCACCACACAATGCCAAATATTGGCTAAAGTAACAGTATTGGTAATTACCAAAATTAATGCTTATGTAATGGTCAAACCCCCACTATGTGCAAACTGTTTTATCAAAATGAAGTTCCTGATGCTAAAATTTAATTCGTTTATTCCTACAAACGAGGTTCTAGAAATGAAAAGGTATAGATTAGCGATCTCTCAGCCATGACTCCTAGAGTCACCCTCAGATATTATTTTACTGCAAGTCGACAATCAGGGCTCCTGTGTGATTTCGTTATTGTACTCAGAACACTGTGATCGCAATCTAATCTACTTTTTTGCATGCACGTCACGAAGAGATCCTCTGTCAAGTGGGAGGATCCCAGAAACTCCAGGAAACAATCAGATCACAGCTGTAGGTCAGGGCTGTCCCTGTCACTGATCTCTCCCCTGACACTGATAAGGACAGCGACACCATCTCGCAACCAAAGCAAACTTGACACGAACAAACTTTTTAACTTCCATAAAATGGATTTCCATATAGATTTCCATAAAGACATCCTCTAAATATCACTTCTACTTTTGTTTCCACTTGTAGCACGCTGGCGTCATCACTGGACTTCCTCATCCTCTTTTCACGCAGTGCAACGTAAACCAAAGGATACACAGTGAGCTCAGTGAGTCATCCAAGCGTGACTCAATGAGGCGGTGATTAAGTGGAAGATTTAATGTGCCGACATTACGATAGCATTTATTTGTGTTTGTGTGTGTGTGGTTTTGTATCTTATAATGAGTTGACATTTTTTGACCTAATCACTTCCACCACTCATTAACTAATCTTAAAATTACCAGGCTGAAATCACAGAACTATTTAGATTTCTTTAACAGGAGCGTGTTTGCCAGCACAGCGGCACAATCAGAGCAGGTGGCACAAGCGGATAAAAATTTGCATCAGCTATAAAAAGCTGAAAATCTTGGCACACAGAAGATCATCCCACGCACACATCCTGACACATATCATATCAATTATAGTCACAGTAAAGTACGGAAAATATCACCCCAGCACTGCGTATACACTGGACATGTCATTTCTGATTCATTCTTTTACCTACTTTACAGAGATGATGAGATTTTAGATTATTGTTTCCCCCATGAAGTGTATGGATAAGTGCAGTCTTTTGTGCTCAGTCTTAAACATCATGCTTGAGTTTACATTTCACCTACAAGCCACTGTGCACATCCTGGAAGCATTGCACATGGTCTTTTTACAGACCATATAGTGTATGCGAAACCTCAAGGACACGAATGCACAGACACTTAAAGTCACAAATACCAAAAATTGGTCAGGGCTTAAACTGTGATTTTATTGTTTTCACTGCAATAAAACAAAATCAGAACTGTAGTCACACTCTGAGAATAGAGTAACGAAACTTGTACTCGATACGTGTGTGTGTGTACTTTACGTCTTATCCACCGGGCAAATATTGCATAAATGACTCTCCAGGTGTTGACATACTATTAGGCAAAGAGATTAATAATGGCAAACATCATGTCAGCTGTTTGCTGTGTTGACAGCTTCTGATAAGTGGCTAACTAATCGTCTGATGTGTAAGGTCAGTTACACCATTGCTTTGGAAACAGTAGGGAATACACTATGGGGATGACGTGGTTATGTAACCAGTTGAGTCATTTTTGTTCCTATAGGCAAAAAGTTCAAATGAATGTGTGTGTTTAAAAAGTACCTTATTGATAGCTATAGTATTTTTCTTTACAGTACTGTATTTTCAACGGTTAGTTTTAAACTATATCTTCCTTTGAAGTATTATTACTGTATTTGTTCATTTATTGGCCCACTGTGTAAAAAGAATAGTGTACATTTTCCTGATGGTGGCAAATAACACAATTACAGTTCTTTTCTTTAAAGTACTTGTGCTGTATTTTTAGCTTCTAATCCTTTATTATGTCTTCATTAGTTCTTTGCCATTAGTTATTTACAGCAAATTAACAGAACGTGACGGAATAACAGGTCTGGATTCATTTACTGGAAAAAAAAAAATTTAATATGGTTAACTGGCTTAAATGGGAAGAAGCTAGGTGTACTAATTAAATCAATTTGTTAAAAGTGCCTTTATCATAGCTGAGTCTTTGGTGATTATAGAATAAGTTACCATGAGAGAAAGAACAAGCTCTTTCTTTAAGGTTCAAATGTAGAGCTACGGGTATTTGTTGTGCTACAAAGCTGCCTTGTCTGCAGAGGCAATCAAAAATGTGCTGTCGAAAAAAATGGCTTCACCAGCGCAGCAGGATGTGTACCAGCTTTTATCAAAAAGAGGTGATCGGATTAAGCAAAGATAGATCACATTTATTGTCCCAGGATGGAGACTTAATGTCATCTTTTGTACAGTTGAAACATAATCTGTCCATTTTCGTAACTCCTTATCCAGTCAAAGGCTGTTTTGAGACTGGAGCCCAAAGCAGCTGTCATAGGTTACACCCTGGGACAGCTCCCCAATAGCTGTACTGTAATTTTAAACTAAACGTTTCACTCCTTAACCACCCTCTTTACTTGGCGTTTTCATGGTACAGAGGCATCTCTTTACATAACTGCACATGCTTGTGATTCAGTAGCCAGTGGGTGTGACGCCTCTCACGGAATAGGTGTGTTGACGGACGTAAGTAATACATCACAGGAGCTGCAGTTTAGATTTAGGATGGGTGCTATGTGGCAGAGGTTGGGAGAGCCCTCAGCCAAGGAAAAACACCTAATGTTAACACACCTTGACTAATTCACGTGCAGACATCGTCATCCTATACCCACTCCTTTACTTCGGCTGAACTGCCCAGAAGACAAAACTCGAGTTTGATGGCAAATGAATCATGGCGCCGTTTCCCTGAGTAGAACAAATTGCAAAAGATATGTTATCCTAAGCCATTTACCATGATTGAACGCTTGTGATAAAAGATAATGACCTCATTTAATTGTCCAAGTGTATTTTTATGTGTATAATATCTCTTTTCTGGCTTGATTTTGATTGTAAATCTTAGAGAATATGCTCTCTTCAGGGTTAGTTAAATAACATATAACAGGTGCCAGCAGATGGATTTTTGGCTTGAACCCGGATCGTTTTTTATTTACAGTAAACATTTTAAAGCAACACCGGTCCTTTCATAGCTTGGTCACTGGCTACCACATTCCTGGTGTACAAACCAAACAGTGTAATCAGCTGATCAAGTTAGCCACATATTGGAAATGCCATAAGCCATAAACATACATCCTTTATTGTCAAGATAACAGAGGGGAAATCAGTCAAGCTAATTCAAACACGAGTGGCAGTAAAGGCCGGTGGCTTGGCCAGGATTCTGCAGGATGGAGGAAAAAAAACACTTCAACTTCACAGATTTAAACCCAAGATCCAACCGAATGCATAAAGTTTATGATCTGTTGCACCATTGTCAATATACTTTATATGTTTTTATAAGTGTCAGTTTTCAGCATTTCATTTTTATGATGTAATACTGAAAAGTAAAAATGATGCAGCCATTGTTTATTGACTTTTCAGTAATACATTTCTGCCTGCTCAGCTATGATGTAAAATATGTGATAACACTGTTTCTAAAGCAGCCCAAGTATGTTTTCCTTCATCATGTTCCTGCATCGGGACACAATGAACAACATATTTGTCAGTAGTAGCTGTGATATTGCCAATCTATATACTATATTGGCTGAGCTCTAAATACTTAATTCACTTATCCACGTTAACTCGTTTTATGTTTATTGCAAACCCCAGAGCGTGGAAAATCTGTTTTTCCCCCCACAGGGAAACTATATTACAGTTAATATAGACAAGCAGGATAATCTTTTAAAAGACATAGGACATAAGTAGCAAGAGACCCTCTCATCTTTTTTTACTCTGGTTTCTTAAAAGTAAAGGAATCTGAAACTAAATCTCAACAGACGACTGATTCTGACGTCAGCATCCGTGTCCTCGTCGGTCAATCTTCTCCGTTCTGTAATAAGAGTTTGTTTGCTGTTCCACAAACTGCAGCTATTCACTAACACTGCAAATTCAATATCCTTTCTTCCACCCTGAGTAAACAAGCCGGTTATTGGTCTGTCCAGAAAGTGGACTCGTTGCAGAACGGGAACAATTTAGTTTCCTTTTTTTTAATATTATTTTTTTATGAGGGAATGAACAGACAAAGCTGTTGACTCGTTCCACCTCTGCAGATGCTCACCCAGACGTTAAAAACAACGCAGTCTCCCGCACGACCCATGTTCACAAGTACATTCAAAGTACAATCTTCAAACGGCTGTCGGAGTCAATATTTGAGCAGTCACTTTGAAGCAAGCTAACAAGACATAGATGGCCCCGATTGTTTCCTTAGAAAAGCGGACATGTGGCCTAAAGTCACAGCAGAGAGCTCGCCTGGATCATCTCTGATCTGATGTAAACCTCTCATATCTTTGGTTATTCAGATGTCACACCAAATAGGGATTTTACTGTGACTTTTATTGAGCCCAGTCAGTGAGCACAGAAATTTGCAACAGAGAACAGTTGCTGTTATTCATGTAAAGCTGAAGTGATCGTACCATGAAAGTAAAGGTGTGAATGCCGGAGATAACTGCAGGACACTTGTTAAGTCATTGGACAGACCCCAAAGACGATAAAAATGTAGATCCATGTGTGGATAAATTTGAAAGCCAAATTCCAAACAAGCTCAGATAATTTGGTATTTGTAGTGAGAATCACACTAAACTGGTTTCAGATAGAGGCAATAAATCCTTCAGCAATGAGTCTACGATAAGTTTGCACAACAGCTCCTTAGCGTGAAGAGTATTCTACACAGCCATGAAAAGCATGACAAATGAAGTGTGTGAGGGGATTAACAAGCCATTTCTCAAGTGTGAACTTAAAAAAAAAAAGCATTTAAGCCCAATGAAATACCCAAATATGGATTGTAAGTTGCACAGACTGAATGCTGAACTCAGTGTCTCTTTTTTGTTGTTGTTTTTGCTTGTTTACAAATGTGAAAGCTGCAAAAAATAGCCAATCACTTGAAGGAGTGTTAAAGCATCATTCACACATTCACTGGGAGTATTTACACTAATTAGGAACACATTTTCTAATTAAAATCTGTCAGTCAGAGTTATTATCAGGAGACAAACCTACACAAACTGTCTGAGATGAAGTGCTGATTTCTCATTCAAGATTCCTCAGAAATATTACGATCTAATAATAGGATGAATAATTTTCCTAAATGACTAAGATGCTGCTGCTCAGAATAGAGTTTAGCGCTGTATAGCACACTTTTCCTTCTAACTGGATACACGACATAGAATTAATCCATCATTGCCATGATGAAAATCCCATCGTTTCTAATTGGTCTGTAATAGATTTCTATATAAGTTCATTTTCTGTCACAGTGTTGCTTTGCTGGTACGTGCGGTGTGACTTGCTAATGCTGTATTAACAAAGCACATTATAAGACAATGTTATCAAAGTTAAATGTGACAACACAAGAAAGTCCATACAATTGAAGTTAGCCTACTGAGCCACAGAGTTCATTTGTGAATATGTCATTTTAATTTCATTTTAACCTCTTTTATACTTCAATCTTGGGATCACAATCTTCTAATTAAACAAAGAAAATCACAGAAGGCAAAATAAAATCAAACCACATCACATTGAATAACTTGAATAACAGGAAACATTTCGAGCAATGTTTCAACGTGATTAAAACTTGAATATCTGTTTTAGCTGGGTAGATTTACACAGGCATTAAACACTTAGAAGAAGCTTAATGTGTGAAGATGACAAATCTTAAATCAATAAACCGTCATCATGTGAATCGGTACAGCAGGACTACACAATGTGCGATCACATTTACCTGCAATTATAGTGCAAGCTGATGGGAAGATAAGGGCAGCTGCTCCATCAAACAGTCACTTATCAATAGGTGATATGCAGCCTGATACTAATGAGAGGTCAAAATGACTCTTTTTTTAAATTCCAATTCAAACTTGTCCACTTCTTTAGCACTAAAAGCAGATTTCTATACATGAGAGATCTTTGGTATGTGAGCTGTTTTTTTGTCCCCTCACCTGAGAATCACCTATGTTCTCGTTATGTCTGAGAGATCCCCCGCTACAGAACAGTAAACAGTCAACAGGAAAGGGAGTTCTTACTCTTTGAGTTTACATCAAAACAAAAAAAATTATCTGCCAAGAAAACGCAGCGGTTAGTGTGACCTACCCGATCACCTTCTCTTTGATTTCAGCCCAAGCCTTCTCTGGATGGGAGCCTGAGCAGTGCAAGAGCCCCCTCCCTCAGCTGACTGAGGGGGGCATAGTCCAGAATCGCAGCAGGCCTGGGGAGGGAGACACCAGGGAGTCGAAGAGGCGGGTGAGCAACTCCTGGAGGGGAGAATAAATCCCAAATGTAGCTAAAGTGGTGGCGGCACAGGTACAAGCATACAGGTCAGATGTACTGAGAGAGCGTGAGAGTTCAGAAACAATCACGGATATCTGTGAGTGTGTGTGAGAGAGAGAGTGTGTGTGTGTGTGTGGTTTCTCTGTGAATCACAGTGTTTATGTGAAGAAGGGGAGGAGAGTGTGGAGGAGGAGGAGGCTCCACGTTGCTTCTCGCTGAAAGTAATAATGTCAGGCAACTGGTTTTTCAGGTCCCTCCGCCCGTCCCTTAGGCGTGCTGGAGCTGCTGATCAAAAAGCAAGAATCCTCTCCAAAGCTGCCAGCTCTCCCCATGACCACCGCTTCTCAAAATCAGTCTCCAGTGGGTGTCTCGGGACACTTTGTCCACATAGCCAGCATATAGTGGACACATTTCTATTCCTCCAGTTAAGATTTATGTCTTAACTGGTAGGTCATTTGAAACTGTCACTTCCTCTCCTTTACAGAACAAATGGCCCTACTCGTGTGTACTCGTGTGAGTATTGGCAAAGTTTGTCGTTTCAGTTTTATCAGATACGCATTCATCTCTGGTCAAACACATTTCATGTATGTAGTTAAAAATTGACAATGTGCCTGTTCAAAGGGTATTGGGTGTGTGTGTACCAGCCTTCTATTGTTGGACTGTAAGATCCATTCAAACAGCTGGAAACAAGGGAAACATTTGTACAAGCAATAATTTAACAGCTTGGTTAGACTTGTCCCAAACCTGTGCCAAGAACACTTCAGGATCCAGCCTCATGTTACCCCCAGGGACCACGAGGTTCCTATGACAATAAAGCAAGTTGGAAGCTATTCTTTTGTGAGGAAGTGTAAGTAAACTTCATTTGAGGAGCTACACATTGTCCCGGTTCAACCAATGGGCTGAAAGAACAGTCGGCAACCTAGATACATGAACGGAGCTGGTGTCGCTGTGTTTCGCTGTGCTGGAACACCGGTACATACAGTATAAAAGATGCAGGTCAGATTTCATAGAGAAGAATACATCTTTTTAATTGGAATTGTGTTGGCATTGTGTTGGTTCCAGTCCAGTATGAATGATCCAAACACCTTGCGTGCTAAAACCTTTGAATTTCACCGAGTGTGGAGGTTCCCTCAGTTTATTTTAGGTCAATTTATATAGCATCCCTTTACAGCACGTCACCTCAAGCTGCTTTATATTGCAAAGTAAAGTCCCTATAAAATTAGAGAGAAACCCCAACATTAATTACTTGACTTGTGAACAAGCATTTGGTGACAATGGGAAGAAAGAACTCTCTTATAAGAGGAAGAGACCAGACAATAGACCAGACAGCGTGGTGCAGCTGTCTGCAGTCAATGATTGAGGGTGTGAAGGAGAGAGAAGAGGAAAAAAACAGAATAGAGAAACACACACTATGTGAAACAGCACAAAAAGTCTATAGCAATAGAGCCACTTGATCCAGCCCTATCTATTAGGTTTATTAAATAGGAAAGCTTCAAGTTTCATCTTAATATTAGGTGGTGTTTCCACAGGAAAGGCGCCTGATAGCTAAAGGCTCTGCCTACCATTCTTCAACTCCGGGAACCACAAGTAAGCCAGGACTGTGTTGGGTCCTCTATGAGAAGAAGTATTTTAAATACATTCTGGATTAAACATGGGGCCAATGGAGAGAACATAATGTGGGAGAAATATGTCTCTTTCTAGTTCCTGTTTGACTGTTTTACACAAAAAGGTTCATAACTTTTAAAAACATCAGCTAACAGCTAACGGTCCCAACTCTTTACCTGTCTACTACACTGTAGGAATTTGATTTATTTCCTTGTGTCTTTTTTCCTACTTGGAATGACAGGGAAGTAAGAAGCCACTTTACCTTAAACCTCACTCTATGTGCTTATTAACTAACTTATTAATTAAAAGGGAACCAGAAAGATTTGGCCTGTATAGTTTGAGAGCTTAAGTGCCCAAAACACCCATGAAATCCACATTAACTGGATCTGTTCCCTGAAGATACACACACTTTGTGATGTTCAACAGTAAGAGTCATTGTGAAGAGGAATTCCCCGCTGCCTGTGAAGAGAGGGCTTTTTGTGTCGTGAAGAACGAGACAGTGCAGTATCACAGCTCCTACTCAGTCCTCTCTACCTGCAAAATACCAACAGCTGCCCACTGTTTTACCTCTAACACAGGCAATCTTTATGACTGCGTGCTACAATAAAGATGTACCAACCCACTGACTAAGTTTGGGCCAAACCTGTGCTTGCAAGACATCCTTTTGTGAAATCAGGGATAACAGTGTGCCAATGTTTTGGCTTTGTTGTAGTTTCTCACCTCATGCAATGTGTCAGGAGGAAATGGATGAGAGAAAACTGTTGTCACAACATTGACGAGCAATCATTTGTCTTTCGTTCATGGCTGACGGGATGGAACAGAAGCTGTGAATGTTCAGTCGCTTGCTACCCAGCAGGTCATGACTACACTGCCTGCCACACAGTCCGCTCATGCCTCATGCTTTAAATTTCAAACACGCTAACGATCACTGAAAGAATCATTAACTCAGACTTGGAACAAGACAGAATATTAACTTAAGCTGCAATGTGAAAGTGACAGTAACATTTAATGGCGGCAATTATACCTCTTTGAATGAATGGATCTCGTGGCTCCATTCCTTTGCCAGAGCCATTCTTTCTTTCTGGTTGGACCACTGCAGGGCCATGTAAACACAGCTGCTTGTCCTTGTTTGGGTGAATGATTGTATGAGTGATAAAGTTAGGCAACTAGTCTGCTGCGCTTTCAAAATAAGTTAGTGAAAACACTGCGGCTCTCTCTGACAGCTTTCGGCAGATAACCTGCATAGGAGTCAGGAAATTGTGGTTAAATTGTGACTACAGAAAATAATTAGGGTCACAATGTGTGCACATCGGTCACACAGTGTTAACCGCAACTCACCTGTGGGAAATATGCACTGATACTCAGCACAATAATAAAAGGTTTTTTTGGTACAACTTGATCTGCTTCATCTGTATCAAAGAGCAACTCAAAAGAATCTAAGCATAGGGGAATGTAACACTAGTAAAATCGCCATTAACTAAAATTTATGTGATACTGTAATGATCAGGGCTTATTCTCAGTTTAAAGGCGAAAAGCTATTTTTCTAAAGGCTCACTTGAAGGAGGAAACAAGGCTTTCTCTCTCTTTCATACAGTTATTGTAACGTTTGACAGATGTGCAGAGAAGCTGTTGAAATCCATGGATTACTGGCCACTCAGTTTGTTCCACAGACTGTTGACCTCCATGCAAACTTCTCCTGATCCAACCAAAAACATGCATTGGCCTAACCCCACCAATCTTTGCAACCCAGGTTTTCAGTGGTAGGTCATTTGAAACTGAAAATGTTTCACCTGACATCAAAATAACTTTAACTAGATTTTATGTCTGCTTTGGCACCGCTATCCCAGAATGACACATAAATAACCGTCTAGTTTGGTATTTAGCTAAAGTTTGCTGATTAGTTTTGACAAGAAATAATCTGTTACCCTTGCGTTTGTGAAGGACAGGGTTTTTAAACCTGTTTTTTCTTGGTGGTGATGTAAATGCAGGAATCCCAACAATATATACAGCATAATGAAAAAGTAATAAAGTCCCCTTCCTGATTTTTGTTGTGTGACAGATACATTAGACAAAGATAACTCTAGTAAATACAAAATGCAGTCTTTAAATAACCTTTCCATTTATTAAAGAACAAAAACATATCCAAACCTGTGTGAAAAAGTAAGCCTAATAACTGGTTTTGCCAGCCTTGGCAGCAAGAACTGCAATTCAGTGTTTGTGATAACTAGTAATTAGTCTTTCACATCGCTGTGGAGGAATTAAGGCTCACTATTCTTTGTGGAATTGTTTGAATTTAGCCATGCCACGTTTTAATTTAGAGGAGAAACATGTTACATTTAAGGTCACTTCAAAACCTTGATTTTTTCTTTTTTTTTTAGCTGTTTAGAAGTCGACTGGTGTGTTTTGATCATAAACCACATGTGCTTGACCTTTAGTGGATGAACTGATAGCTGGACTTGCTTCATCAGGATTTTCTGGTAGAACGCGGAACTCATGTTTCTGTCAATTACAGGAAGTCATCCAGGTCCTGAAGCAGCAAAGCAGACCATCACTCTACAACCACTATGTTTGACTGTTGGTATGATGTTCTTTTTTATGAAATATTGTGTTGGTTTTAAATCAGAATATTTTTCACCAAATTCTTGGGGATCATTAAGATGCTTTTTTAATAAATGTGAGAGACTCATTTGTGTCATCAGTGGTTTTCTCCTTTCAACTCTCTCCTGGATCACATTTTTGTCTCCTTCTTATCATGAATCATGAACACTGGCCCTAATTTAGGCAAGGGAGGCCTGCAGTTCTTTAGATATTGTCCTGGGTTCTTTAGTGAACTCCTAGATGAGTCACTGATGTGCTCTTGGAGTAATTTTGGTAGGCTGGCCATTTCTGGGAAGGTTCACCACTGCTCCAAGTTCTCTCTATCTGTAAATAATGTCTCTCACTGTAGTACACTGGAGTCCCAAAGCCTTAGAAATGGTTTTGTAACCATTTCAACAATGATAGATTTCAGTGACTTGTTTTCTCAGCTGTTTCTTCAAATTGTTACATGATGTGTTGCTTTTGAGGTATTTTAGTCTACTTCACTTTGTCAGACTGGTTCTATTTAACCGATTTCATGATTCATCTGGTTTAGCAGTAATGAAGCCTGGGTGTGGTCAGTGAAACTGAAGTGAGATTTGGTTAATCACCATTAACTCATTATTTAACAAATGGTGCACGTTCCTTTTTCACACAGGGCAGGTAGGTTTGGATGGATCTTTTATCTTAATAAATGAAGTAATCAAAACTGCATTTTGTATTAACTCAAGGTAGCTGGTTATCTTTGTCTAATATTGCAACTTCTTCTGTGATCTGAAACATGCCAGTGTGAATTTGCAAAATAGAAAAGAAACTGCTGGAAACAAACAGGTCTGTTCTGCAGTTCTGTGGATTGGCCAGTGTGGGCCAGCATTTGTTGCCTGTTTGCCCTCATTGTTGCAGTCACATGACTGGACAGGTGTCATGTGCTAAGTGCTACAGTCAGCATGCTAGCATACAGTGCATTGA